GGCCTTTGTAAGCTCTCTTTTGCGTAGGGTTTAAGGGGGAACAATGACAAGGGCACCCATTAAAAGCGAAAAAACAGCCATTCCACGAGCCGGTTTGGGATGCCATCACAATGATAGGGTCTTCCACCAAGAGCTTTTTCATCCCTTTTGAACCTTTCTTTCAGGTACGTTTTGGAGGCAAAAAACCATTTGGCAAAAGGTAAAACTAATCCAAATGCTTTTCGTCAGACGCCATGACAAAAAAAGCTCTCCCGGCAAGACCTTTTTTCTCTTTTGGGTATGTTTTGGGCCAAGGTTAAAGTGCTTGTTGTCAGAAAAATAACAATGATAGGATCTACCAACAAGTGCCCTTTTGAGCCTCCTTTGGGGTATGGTTGGGGCTCAAAAAGGGCACTTGTTAAAATGATCTTAAATGGTCGTGGTCACGCACCATTACAAGAAACTGTTCTCGAAAGTTTTTCGTCGGATGCGGTGATAGGGTCTCGCAACAAGTGCCCTTTCCAAGCTCTTTTGAGGGACGTTTCGGGGTCAAGAAAGGTATTTGTTAAAATGGAACAAAATAATATCATATGGTCGTTGTCAGACACCATGACAATAAGAGACTTTTCCAACAAGGGCCCTTAGGGAGCTCTTTCGGGGGGTTTTTGCGGGGCGCAAGGGATGCTTGTAATGAACTCTTGCAAAGTTCCTGTTTTGTAATTGGGGGCAGCCGGGTGGCTCTTAGTTGGTCATTGCGGAGGATGGCTGGGATGAAGAAAATGATCGGCAAGAACATGGTCAAGAAGACCAATGTTGATGGCAGCCTCTACTTTGCGGAATATAGCACGATCGCTTTGCTCGGCTTCTACGTTAGCAAGGGCATCGGCAGGGAGGCATCTTGCCTTCCGATTTCGTCTTCAAGCTTTTCCTTCGCAGTTTACTCCTGGCATGAATCGCAATCTCCCTTGGTCAATAAGATTTAACATTTTGGGGCGTCTTGATTCAAGCACTCATGTTTGACAACGCCAAGTTTGAAGTGGACGTGTGCGAGATGCAGTCGCCATCCTCGCTGCATTATGCTGGCTACGCTGTGTCTCCTCTGACGGACTTCTGGACGTCATCTGAATCGACTCCTCAGGCGCTCTTGTTCATTTGCTCGCTTGGCTTAAGCGCTATAGCGTGATATGTGCAGCTTGGCTGGCAGGCCACTTCCAAGCTCCGCGTCTACGTGGAGCTGATGCAGCTGACGGTGGCTTCGCCGGCCGATCTGGAGACGGCGCGGGAGTCTTTGTTGGTGGAGGAAATGCTGCTTCAAGTGCGGGGGCAGATTGCAGACGCCAAGGTGGCGCTGGAGATCCTTCAGGACCGAGAACAGAAGCTCTCGAGCAAGAAGCGCAAAGCAGAATCAGAACCTGATAGCCAACCTTGACAATGAGCTCAAAGAGAAGGGCTACGGCTACTGGCACGTCTCTGGCATATAACGTAAAATTAAATATCGTTATCGATGGGGGTTAATGTTGTAATCCATCCAATTGCTTTTGACAAAAAGTTGGTGCCAGCGACTGCTGTCAGACCCAGAAGCCGTGCTTGACGGGTTGGAACGTTGGCGCGTGTTTTGCCTTCCTCCATGCTGTTGTGGTGGTCAATCAAAATTGATCAAGGAGCCCAATAATTCCATTTTCTTCACATGATATATCGTGGTTTCCGCGTGGCGATGCGACTCTGTGGGCAAAGCTTTCAAAGCCAGACGTTTCCTGATTTGATCATGTACAGCTGGTAGCGGCTGCTCTGAGATGGGTAGCCTATGTTTTTGAAGGTCGAAACAGAGGGCGTTTTGAGTTCGCTAAGCCTTTTGAGGGGCTGCGTCGCTGCCCTTATGGGTGTTGCCATGCATTATTGGTCTAACTGATTCGAGTTGGTTCCCCTAGCTTTGTCTCCGCCTGCACAGTACGCGCGCATTTGCTTTTGCAAGAAGCCACGCTTTAGACAGATCTCTAGATTTTCAGACAGGCTCAAAGGAATACGGTATACACAAGATGGCCCACATTGCGTATCATACAGATGTGCTATATTTTTGGGACTCGAGAGCAAGAAGTAAACATACAGACTTCGGGGCTCGGAACTGCAGATCGAGGATGCAAAAGTATATTGATGTTTGATGTTTGATGCCTGGTCACCTATATGTCTACAGAGTTGATTTGTTGAGAAGCGTATCGATCGGTGTGCGTCCGGGACCCGGGCAAGAAGAGAATCAAGTTCGGGGCCCAAGGTTTTCTGGACATTGATTTCCATCGGTGTGGGGCCGGGGCCCGGAACCCAAGGCCCGCAGGTTGAAAAGGGAAATTGTTATATCTTTATGTATATATATATATATATTTAACTAGACATGTATATATTTGCAACTCAGCGATTTGTTTCGAAGACGGGTATTTTTCCGGGGCCCGGTAACAAGTGAACAGAATTCGGGGCCCGAGGCTTTCTGTGGACTCCAATGGGCTCGGGCCCCGGAGTTGCAGATCAAGGCTCATAAGACACTCTGATGTTTGATGAGTCATTGATGAATATTTCTACATATATCTATATATGTCTACAGAGTTGATCCGTTGAGAACGATATCGGCGGTATGTGTCCGGGACCCGGGCAAGAAGAGAATCGAGCTCGGGGCCCAAGGTTTTCTGGACCATGGATTTCCATCGGTTCGGGGCCCGGAACCCAAGGTCCAGGTTTAGAAGGGAAATTGTAATATCTTTATGCGTTTATAAACAGATACATATATATACATATATATTATTAATTTGCATCTCAGCGATTTGTTTTGAACATGTTGGAGGACATGGGATGGGTATGTTTACGGGGCCCGGGTAACAAGTGAACAGAATTCGGGGCCCGAGGCTGTCTTTGGACTCCAATGGGCCCGGGGCCCGGAATTGCAGATCAAGGCTCATAAGACATGTAGATCTGATGTTTGCCGAGTCGTTGCTGAGTCTTCCTATATATGCATTTTTCGATATATATATATAT